AAAAATTCTATTTATTATTTTTTGTTTCTGGAGCCTCTAAAGCAGCCTTTCTCAACCTTTTAACCTCCTTGGCGGTTTTCCCGAGTGTAGCTCGGGGTAGAATTTCTATACCAAGAGCGGTAACCCCGAGCTACACTCGGGCTTACTATGCAGCGTTCTCTGGGGGTCCCTGCAGCACTTACCTTGTCCTTCGCTCCCACGATGTGTCCCCTGCAGCGTCCCCGTCCATCTCCTCCGGCGGATGCCGGCATCTGGCTTCCGTGTTCCGGTCCCCGTGACGTCGGAACGTTCGGGCGGCGGAACCGGCGGGAAATTTGAAATTTTTAAAAAATTACATTTTTGCTGTCATTGCTTTTTCACTGCATTTCACATACATTTTGTCCCTAGTGCTTTGTCCTGTGCCCTGCCTGCATTTTGACTGTTCTTTCTGCCTGGAAACTTAGAAAAGTCCATGACGGCCAAAAAGCATCCCTTTACATCAAAAGCGGTTTTAGAACAACGATAGTAAATCAGAACCACTTGCAGAATTGAGTGATAATGATTTGTGGGGAAATTCGTCATCAGACACTGAAAACGATTTTGCGACTTTGCTCAGCGATGTGCGAATTTGCCTCTGTATTTCAAATTTCAGTGTTTTTGGTTTGATTATATTATTGAATTAAATTTATTATTATTATATTATTATTTTTTATGATTATTTATTAAATTATAATTTATGATTTCGTGTTTCAAGTTTTATCATATCCAGAATGTTTAATAGACTCTTTTTCGGATAGATTTCAGTGAGTTATTCCTAAAAATTACAGCCTACAATTAAAAACTACATATTTCCATGCAAAAAAAATGGTACCGCTTTCAGCACAAAATTCCTGACATGATCATACCGCCAGGGAGGTTAAACACAGAGGAACCCTTGACATAACTTTCTCAGGGAAACCCTGTTAAAAATGACTTTATCTACAATTATGATACATTAGTGTGATAGTCAGAGGTAAGAATGCTCCTTACACTTGTGGTGATTGGGAAAATTACCCCCTTACAGATTGCTAAAAAGATCAATGTGTCAGTGGGAACTTACTTGCGAGGCAAAAATTGCTCATTGCTCAAGGAACGCCTGGCAACCTCTGGAGGAACCCTGGTTGAGAAACCCTGTTCTAAAGCATTGCACCAGCGATCAGTAGATCAGGGGTGCCATGAAGGTCTCCTGCAGACCTGTCAGTGTTTCTGTCTGCCTGTACATCTCAAATGGGAAAGCAGATGCTCACTGACAGGAAGACTCAATGAACTACAAACCAACAGTTTGTTGGAACTTGTAGTGTTCTCATTCACAGAATACTGTGAATGAATGACACGGCAGGGCGGGCGGAGCCCCACTTGGCTGCCTTTTTTTTAAATTTTGACAGCTAGCAGGGAGGAAAAGATCCACCGCTAGCTTTCACAACAGGGATTGAGGGTTGCAGAGGCCAGTCTATTTGTAACATGTTACACCCTAAATGTTACAAAAGGTGAACCTATCCCTTAAAACTCAACATAACCCTATGTTTTATACTTTCACAAAAAATAGGAATTATACTGTGTTTATGTGCACTAAAATTAATTTTAGTGTGTTTTTTTAAATTATACATTTGATAAACAGTTGTGTAAATATCCTGTGCCATCATTTTTATTCTACGGGCCCTTTGCTTTCAGAAAATATATACATTTTTGCGGGTTTTTCATAATTATTTAGCAAAAATGTAGATTTTTACATTCATGTGAACATATAAAAAAATGCCTTGTTCTTCAAGTGGTTAACAAAAAATAAACATGGAACTCTACAGTGGCCTAATAGTGAGGAGTCAGGTGTTATACCTTGTGTATGTTCTTAGAAATGAAAAGCCTCTTATAAATTCCCAGTGGGAAAACCCTTATTTAACATCCTGTTCATAAATAATTTGCAATGAGATAATAAGGAGATACAAAGCAAAACTGACTGTATTCTAGAGAAAACTACAGTACAAAATCATCTGGACATAAACATAAATAATTTTGTGATCAAATCTGTAAATAAAATTATGTTTTGTCTAAATTCTCCATCAGCTAGATCAGTATTTCTCAACCAGGGTTCCATGGAACCCTAAGGGTCCTCCAGAGGTTGCTTGGGGTTCCTTAAGCAATGAGCAGTTTCTGCCTTTCAGATAAGTTCCCACTGACATCATTGATCTTTTTAGCTATGTGTAAGGGAGTAATTCTTCCCAATGACCATCACACGAATGTATTACGAGTTGTAGATAGTGTTATTAGCAAGGGTTCCTTGAGACTAGAAAGTTATTTCAAGGGTTCCTCTGTGTTTAAAAGGTTGAGAAAGACTAAACCATATACTCGCAAGGTTCCACAGTATATGAATGTTGAAGATTACCAAGTCAGTCCAACCAATACTGATATTTAGAGTGTATCTATGGTTTAAGATCATTTAATCATTTCCACATCGTATTATTTCTAGCCTATAATCCTGCAGTTTGTGAACTTACTTTATGGAGATCCTTACAGATTTACATCTTTACATTTCTGTGACATATATTCACTATGCCCTGTGAATAGGCACTGCTGTGTCACCCATTTCACAGAGCCTGCCTTTTGAACTACAGAGGTCATAACTCCCAACTGTCCCTAATTTTGAGGGACTGTCCCTTATTTGGAACAAAGTCCATCTATCCGTCTTGCAGCCTCATTTCTCCTGTATTTTTGTCTGATGTTTAGATGGCTGCTGTTGGAAACTGCGGGCCCTATCTATCCGATCTATCCTCCAGTGTGCGGCTGACCTTTCTTCCTGTTGAACCGCGGACCCTATACAGCCAACCTGACATGCCCCCCCCCCCCCCCCAAAGCACACAATTTCCTATGCTTCAGTTATGAATGAAAATAGTGAGTGATTGGTACCAATCACTCATTGTGTTCATTCAGAAACGGAAGGGGTTGGTAAATGTGACATATTTTCCGGACCCTTCCCCCACTCTCCATCCTGAAGGATTCTATTGTGTGCTTGCAGCTATTGGTGAGAAGGAAAGGATGGAACCCGGCAGCACTGCAATGGTGGGGGCACATGGGGGTCATGCACCATTTTGCATACATATAAGCATATATGTTAAACTGGGAGTAATATATATTTGTTTTCTATGTTGTTTGTTTCATACCATTTAGGAGCGCTGCATGTTTGCTTTACATATTGATGTTTTTCCAAGAGGTTTTCTGAGGTTTTACCCTTTTATGCTAAGCTGCTCCACTATATAGATCTAGCGCTCGTTCCTTTTAGATATTTGTTGGCACATGGGGGTGGCCTGGGCAGCAGGGGGAAATATTTTATGCATAGAAAGGGTGATGGATGCAATGGGGGGGGATTACTGGATTCCTCTGTATGTCTCTCTGTGCAGTAGCTGAAAGCCAGTGGGAAGGAGAGGAGAAGAATCTAGCTTTCAGCTGCTTCAGAGGGAGCCATACAGAGGATTGGTTCCATTTGCCCTCCCGCCATTCCGATCACCCTCCCTGCCCAAATCCGATACACCCAGCTGCCTGGGCCCTGTATAGGAGGACTGATGTTACCCCCTTATATACAGCCCTGGATGTATATACCTGTATTAAAAATGCGCTATTTTATATCAAAACATTTTGCAGTGTTAAACCTTTCATCCAATTTCTAAACTGTTGCATTTGTACATTTCAAAAGATAATATAAAGGAATAGTAGTGGTAAAAAAGCACGTGTGGGTTTAACCAAGCATTTTTGCGTATTAATTTTCCTTGTAAGGGGGAATGGGGGGGGGGGGGCTATGAATACATACTTTTGCTTATAGGTGTCCCTCATTCCCATCTCAGAAAGTTGAGAGGTATGTAGAGGTGCTGAGAGGAAGGGTTTCAGGAGGCAGAGTTAGCACAGGAATCAATGCTTGCAGGCAGCAATGTACCATGGGATATGTAGTCCTTAGAAATTGAAAGTAAACAACAGAGGAGAGACTGTAAAGCATGCAGGGAATCTAGGAAATTTCTGGAAAGAGATGGCTAGCAGACAGAACTAACAACATGAAATCAGATTTTTCAAGTATGTGATGATCAAAAAAAATATTGTTTGTTTTGCTATTACCATGTTGATGATATAGAATGAAAGCATATGCTGTGACCTTAGAACTCTTTTAACCACTTCCTCTCTAGTGAATTTTTTTTGCAGCATATTAAAATCTGCATTTTTGGCTATAAAAATTACTTAAAATCCTCATAACATTTATATATTTTCTGAGCTCAGAGGCACTGTAAAATAAAAAGTAGTTGCAAATTTTTATGATGCAGAATATTTTTGGAACTGTTAATCAAATCTATATTTTTGGTAAAAAAAAAAACACTAAAATGAATTTTATCACACATGAAACACAATTGAATCCCCATTTATGCTTAAAATAAAATATGAGGTCATGTTGACTAACTAGATACCAAATATATCAAGCTGCAAAACTGCGTGCACCCAACAAATGCAGAAAAATTACAGTACCCATAATTATCCATAGGTGGTGCTTTAACCACTTTCCTACAGGGCACTTATACCCCCCTTCCTGCCCAGGCCAATTTTCAGCTTTCAGTGCTGTTATACTTTGAATGACAATTTCGCAGTCATGCAACACTATACCCATATGAAATTTGTGTAATTTTTTGTGACAGATAGAGCTTTCTTTTGGTGGTATTTAATCACCTCTGGGTTTTTTATTTTTTGCTAAACAAACCAAAAACAACTGAAAATTTTGAAAAAAAAAATTTTTTCTTAATTTCTGTTATAAAATGTAGTAAATAAGTGATTTTTCTCCTTCACTGATGTGCGCTAATGAGGCTGCAGTGATGGGCACTGATAGGCTGCACTGATGGGCACTGTTAGATGGCACTGATGCACACCAATTAGGAGGCACTGGTAGGTGGCACTGATGGGCATTGACAGGCATCACTGATGGGTACTGAAAGGTAGCACACATATATAGCACTGATAGGCAGCACTGATAGGTGGCACTGACAGGCAGCACTGACTGGCACTGTTAGGTGGCACTGACTGGCACTGGTAGGCGGCACTGATAGGCAGCACTGACGGGCACTGATAGGCGGCATTGATGTGCACTGATAGGTGGCACTGACTGGCAATGATAGGCGGCACTGATTGACAGCACTGATAGGTGGCACTGGCTGGCAATGATAGGTGGCACTGAAAGGCAGCTCAGATGGCCACTGATATGTGGCATTGATGTACACTGGTAGGAACTGATATGTGGCATTGATGTGGCACTGATGGGCACTGGCAGGTAACATTGATGAGCACTGACAGCTGGCACTGATGGGGCTACACTAATCATCGGGGCACACTGATCATCAGTGCCCTGATGATCAGTGTACATGTCTCCTCTGAGGAATGCCGTTAACAGCTCTCCTCTCCTCACGAGCTGTCAGCGTGATAGCTTGTGAGGAGAGGAATGCCGATAACCAGCATTTTCTTATTTACATGCGATCAGCTGTAATTGGACACCGCTGATCACATGACAGAGAAAACATCTTCAGCTCTTTCCATTGATCGGTGATCTGCTGTATCCACCAATCCCCACGCTGTGCGCTCTCAGAGCCACGCACGACCGGTTAGAGTGGGAGGACATCATATGATGTCTTCCCAGAATGAGAGAACCGCCTTGCGCCCGTCATTTCCTTATATGGCGGGCGGGAGGCGGTTAAACACCTTCACAGCTCAGTATTTGAGTAAACTCCAAACGAGGGGTCTAGAATTATTGCTCTCACTCCAATGTTCGCAAGAAAACATATGTGTGGTGCAGTTGCTGTTTACTTAAATGTGAATGCCCTGTTATGCTTTGGGTCATTGTCCTGCTGTAAGACCCAGGACCTCTAACGGAGACCCAACTTTGTAACATTGGGCCCTATATTGCACCCCAGAATTCTTTGGTAGTCTTCAGATTTCATAATGCCATGCAGTCAAGAAATCTAGTGCCTGAAGCAGCAAAGCAACCCATGAAACAACAGTGAACCTCCACCACGTTTGACTGTAGGGACTGTATTCTCTTTTTAAAGGCCTAATTTTTTTCTTAAAACAGTGGAATGATGGGCTTTACCAAAAAAGCTATACATTTTGTTTCATCTGTCCACAGAACATTCTCCCAAAAGGATTTTGGCTTCCTCTGGTAAGTTTTGGCAAACTCCAATCTGGCTTTTCTATGTTTCTGTGTCAGCAGTGGAGACCTCCTACCATAGAGTCCCTTTTCATTCAGATGCCAACGTATAGTGCAAGCTGACACAGTTGTACCCTGTGTCTGAAGGTCAGCCTGAATTTGTCTGGAAGTTGATCAAGGAACTTTATCCATCATTCAAACAATCCTTTGTTGCAATGTTTGATAAATGTTTCTCTTTCATCCACGTCCAGGGAGATTAGCTACAGTGCCATGGGCTGTAAACCTCTTGACAATGTTGTGCACAGTGGATACAGAACCTGTCAGAGCCTGGAATTGAACCTGGGCCTTCTGCGGTGAGAGATAGTGTTTCTTCTCACTGAGCCACCTGGAATGCTGGACAGCTCCCTTGACAATTCTTTGGATGATCCTGCCTATTCCCTGTTTTGTCTTGAACCTTGAACTCCTTGCTCCTCCCATGAACTTTCTATAAAAGCCATGTCTCTGCACTTCCTGGTTGCCAGATTATTGTGCCTTACCAGCCAATATCCCGCTTACTGTTCCTGCTGCTGGCTTCATCTACGTTACCGACCTTTGGCTTGCTACTGACTATGATTCCTATCTACTACCATTGGTGACCGACCCTTGGCTTGTGACTGACTCCGCTTCTGTTTGATCCCTGAACTGTTTGATCCGCTTTTGGTTTCCAGCCTACTCATTCCCTGGTGGGGTGATCCCGAGATCTGCGACCTGGCATTCACACGCAGCCAAATCCATCTCCACCATTAGGAGCTCTGGGGAAGACCGGTGGATGCTTAGACCCCGCACCTCAGGTGAGCCTGCGTCATTCCCAGGGTGGGCCGCTGGTTTACCAATCCTGCTGGTTTCAGGTAAGCCTTACAACTGCTTTAGCAACTGGTCTCTGAACCTGACCTTATATTGTGACAGAATAATCTGGCCCAAACATGGAGGCCGCTATAGCAAGTGTTGTGAATCCTCTTAGGCAGCAAATTGCTGAGCTGCAGGAATTTGGGGTTACCCATCAGGAAAAAGTTGCCAAACTGGAAAGCATTGTGGATAGGCAACAGGGAGAGATTCAGGCTCTGCAGAGGCAACTGCTGAACCGTGATGATCCTAGCTCACATATGCCCCAGCCCCAACCATCTAAGTTTAATGGAGACCGCCGCCAATACAGGGGTTTCCTTAATCAATGTCGTGTATATTTTCAAATGTACCCTGCTGCGTTTCCTTCAGAGAAAAAGAAGGTAATGTTTATTATTGGGCTTCTTACTGGGGAAGCTTTAGCTTGGGCCTCCCCTTATATAGAGCAAAACCATGGCATTCTAAATAATTTTGATACCTTTTTGACCGCGATGAATCAGGTTTTTGATGATCCCAACCGTTGTGCTTCTGCCGAAGCAAAATTACATAGTCTAAGGCAGGGTAGACGCTCGGTCGCTGAATACACAGCCGAGTTCAGAAGTTGGGTTGCAGATACCACTTGGAACCCTGCAGCACAAAAGAGCCAGTTCCGCCAAGGGCTTTCTGAACAGGTAAAGGATGAGCTTGCCAGAGGTGATACGCCTAATGATCTTGAGGAATTCATCCAATTGTGTATCCGAATCGATCAAAGACTTACAGAAAGGAGAAAGGAGAAGCTGGGAATACTTGGAAGTAATAGGGGCATGCATCTCTCTGCTAGTCCGTTTGTTCAGCAGGATTCAAGAGTCTCTCTGGGTTCTAACACTCCTGAGCCTATGCAGGTTGATGCAATCAAGAGATCCATCTCCATTCAGGAGAAAGAGCGAAGACGTTCAGAGAATTTATGTCTTTATTGTGGGGATTCTGGTCATTATGCAATTAATTGTCCTAACAAGGTTAGAAGAACTATTGCTGTGACTGATGTGATTGAGCCTGAACACATAAACTCTATAAGCCAGTCTGTCTCCCCACTGATTTCTGAAGAGAATAAAGTGAACTCCCTACTTTCTCACTTTGTTATCCCTTTTAAACTTGTATTTGAGGGCCATGAAATCTCCTGCTCAGCTATGCTGGACTCCGGAGCGGGGGGAACTTTATGGATATAGAGTTTGCCAACAGCAATAATATTGAAGCAAGAGACACATTTACCCCTATTGATATGGAGACAGTTGAAGGGTCACCCTTATCTTCAGGACCTGTTACCCATAAAACGGTCCCCCTGAAACTGTTGTTTGAGGCTGACCATTGTGAGACCATCAGCTTTCAGCTGATTACATCACCCAAGTTTCCCATCATCCTGGGCATTCCTTGGTTCTCCACTCACAATCCTTCCATCAACTGGGGAGCACGGACTATAGATTTTACATCCTCCCACTGTAAAAAACATTGCAAAAAACCTTGCCGACCAAGTTCATCACCGACCAAGGAAGCGCAAGGTGATATAGTGGCTACCCAGTCATATGACAACTTGCCCACACATTACCATGAGTTCCGGGACGTCTGTGACAAGAAGAATGCAGATCTATTTCCCCCTCATCGCCCATATGATTGCCCCATTGAGCTGCTCCCAGGGGCAGAAATACCTTTTGGCCGCCTCTTCAATCTGTTGGAACCTGAATTAAAAGTACTCGGGGTGTGGATCGATGAGAATTTGGAGAAGGGCTTTATTAGACACTCAACTTCTCCAGCGGGGGCAGCCCTGTTCTTCGTTGAAAAGAGACTCCACCTTGTGTCCATGCATTGACTACAGAGACATGAATAAAATTACTATTAAAAACCGCTATCCATTACCTTTGATCTCTGAAATGTTGGAAAGACTTCACTCTGCCAAGATCTTTACTAAGCTTGATCTACGAGGGGCATATAACCTTGTCCGCATTCGTCAAGGAGACGAATGGAAGACTGCCTTCAGAACTAGGTATGGGCATTTCGAATCCTTGGTGATGCCGTTTGGACTTTGCAATGCCCCTGCAACATTTCAACATTTTGTCAACTATGTTTTTCGTGATCTGCTGGACCAATTTGTGATTGCCTATCTAGATGATATCCTTATCTTTTCCAATAATTGGGAGGAGCACCGCAAACATGTTTGCACAGTCTTTGAAAGATTAAGGAAGAATAGACTCTACATTAAATTGGAAAAATGTGAGTTTGAACAAACCCAGATCCAGTTCTTAGGCTATATCATTTCTCCAGAGGGCGTGAGCATGGATCCTGAGAAAATCAAAGCAGTGGTAGATTGGTCAGCACCTGGAAATGTTAAGGAAATTCAACGTTTCGTTGGGTTTGCCAACTTTTACAGAAAATTTATAAGAAACTTTTCTAAAGTGATAGCTTCAATCACACAGCTTACAAAGAAAGGGGTACCCTTTGTGTGGACCTCTGAGGCACAAGCTGCGTTTGAAAAACTAAAAACTCTTTTCACTTCTGCACCAATTTTGGTACATCCGGATCCTGAACTACCCTTACAGTGGAAGTGGATGCCTCCAATTCTGCCGTGGGAGCGATCCTGTCTCAGCGAAGTGGTGAAAAGATGCAGCTTCATCCTTGTGCCTTCTTCTCCCGTTTGATGTCCTCAGCCGAGAGAAATTACGACATTGGGAATAAAGAGCTACTGGAAATTAAGGAAGCCTTTTCTGAATGGAGGCATCTGCTAGGAGCTAATCATCCTGTAACTGTTCTCACAGACCATAAAAATCTGGAATTTATTCGTTCGGCCAAGAGATTGTCTTCTAGACAAGCTCGCTGGTCTCTATTCTTTTCCAGATTTAATTTTGTTATATCATATCGACCAGGATCGAGGAATGGTAAGGCCGATGCCTTATCAAGGATGCTGTCCGAGCCTCTCCTGGAGGGCAACTCCGAATATTCCATCCTAACACAAAAGAACTTCCTAGGGGCCACAAGTGCAAAGACATTCTTGTGTCTTCTCAAAGAGGGGTATGAGAATGACCCACTTCTCAATGATCCTCCTAGGGACATGAACCTGGTGTACAAAAATGGCTTTTGGGTTCAAGGACATCATCTTTATGTACCTGAATCTGTTCGGGTGGAAGCTCTCAAGTTGGTTCATGATTCCAAACTTGCTGGGCATTTTGGAGTTACTAAGACCGAAGAACTGTTGTCACGTTCCTTTTGGTGGCCGGGGTACAAGAAGGATGTCAAACGCTATGTGGCCTCATGCTTGACCTGTGCACGCAATAAAACTCCCCGAGCCTCTCCTTTGGGGTTGCTTCAGCC